TTTTTTTTTTTTTGAGACAGAGTCTTGCTCTGTCACCAGGCTGGAGTGCAGTGGCATGAACTCGACTTACTGCAGCCTCCTCCTCCTGCGTTCAAGCGATTCTCCTGTCTCAGCATCCCGAGTAGTACACGCCACCACACCAAGCTAATTTTTATGTTTTTAGTAGAGTCAGGGTTTCACCATGTTGGCCAGGATGGTCTCGATCTCCTGACCTCATGATCCACCCGCCTCAGCCTCCCAAAGTGCTGGGATTACAAGCGTCAGCCACCATGCCCAGCCTATTTTATTTTAGGAATCTAAGCATCAACTCACTGAACAGAGATCTCGCTTTTTTGTTGTTGTTGCCTCATCTTGGTGCTATTTCAAAAGGGTATCAAAGAACATTCTTCATGTTCACAGAATGCTCTGTGCGCGAGGTCTCTCTGGAAGCTGGCTGTTGCTGATGGCTGTCTGATGGAAACCTGGACGTGCCTTGTGAAGTACAGGAAAAGGGTAGGAGGGAGTGGAGAACAGCTTTATGCCCTTAGAAAAGACCACTGAGCCAGCTTTTGTCCAGGCCGGGTCCTTTGTCTCTGAAACATGGTAAGCAGGTAAGAAGTCATAGTTCCATCTGAGAATAATGTAGATAAGGAACAGTGGATACGGGTGGGAAGATGTTGTCTGTAGGACCAACCTTCAGCTGGAATGTGAAGCGAATGCTCTGGAGAATGGAGGCTCTGGTTGGGAACAGAGTTATCCTCATGCAAAAGGTACTTATCTTGAGATACTCTGTGGGAAACAGGTGGGTGTATGCATGCTTCTGTAACAACACACCTGCACATGATGATATCTTACTGTGAAATGGGGGAAGTTAATAGGCTACTAAAAAGTTTTTTAGCCTGAGCAATATGGTGAGTCCCCATCTCTACATAAAAATTAGCTGGGCATGCTGGCGAGTGTCTGTGGTCTTAGCTACTTGGGAGGCTGAGGCGGGAGGATCACTTGGGTCCAGAAAGTCAAGAAGTCAAAGCTGCAATGAACCATGATGGTGCCACTACACTCCAGCCCAGGTGACACAGCAAGACCCTGTATCTGTCATCTCTCTCTCTCTCTCTCTCTCTCTCTCTCTCTCTCTCTCTCTCTCTCTTTTTGAGACAGGGTCTTGCTATGTCACCGAGGGTGTAGTGCAGTGGTGCTATCTCAGCTCACTCTAGCCTCCGTCTTCCAGGCTCAAGCAATTATCGTGCCTCAGCCTCCTGAGTAGGTAGGATATAGGTGTGCCCACCACACTCAGCTAATTTTTGTATTTTTAGTAGAGACAGTGTTTTGCTATGTTGACCAAGCTGGTCTTGAACTCCTGACCTCAAGTGATCCACCCACCTCAGCCTCCAAAAGTAGTAAGATTACAGGTGTGAGCTACCGTGCCCAGCCGACACTGTCTCCTAAAAATTATGATGGGATTGATAAACTGGCCAGTAAATTAAAATTAAGTGAAAGCTATCTAATGGGAACAGTCTCCCCTTTCCACACAAACCATGCTGCCAGCTATGCCTCCTTATAACGGGCCAACCCAAACTCCTGGCTATAGATCCCAGTTCCTTCTCACTTCTTCAAGAACTTTCCTTCCACTGTCTCCATCGCTTTCTCTCCACTGGAACGTTCCCATAGCACCCCAAGGTATTTGAGCACCTGCCATCTTTAAAACAGTAACCAGCCTTACAGGGACGTCACTCAGAACCAAGGCTGGCCGTCATCTCAATTCATCAATTGTTTGCTCAGTTGTCTCCTCATCCCTAGGTTGCCTTAATACACATCCTCACAATTTTTTGTCCCCAGTCCGTAGACCTGGCCCAGTGCCTCACCCTCTCACTCAGCTCGGCTCACTAGGTTAAAGCCATATGCGTATGAGCGGGTGATGCTTGGTGGCCCGTCTGGGAGTCCTCATCTTGGCTGGATAATCGGATCTCAGAGTTCTTGTCTGAGAGATTCAGAACCTGACTCTGGCTACTGTAAAGCCCAAAGGAATGAATGAGCCAGATATTGGGCAATTTTAAGAAACTGGAGAACTGGGTTCAGAGGCCAAGCAAACAGGAGCTGCCAAGAGCAGGCTGCAGGACTAGGCTCATGAAGGTGACAGAGACGGAAGTGGGTGCTGCCCACACCCCGATACTGGATGCTGTAGCGGCCCTGGAGGCACACCCAATGCTGCCTCCCAAAGTGGGCCTGCCTGCTGCCAAGGCTTCGGAAGTGTTTCTCTGCAGCCCATTCCCTCAGGCACAAGCTTTTAACATGCAAGACATGCTGCCAGGTCACATGCCTTGCTCTAGCTGCAAGTGAGACTGGAAAAGCCAGCAACTGGCCTCCTTGCTTTTTGAATGGGGTGGCGCGACTGTGCCTCATTAGGTAGGAGGGGATCCTCAAACAGAGGAAGGGCTTCTGATCCCAAGGGAGAGGACAGACAGAATGGTACTACCGAGATGAAGGATGCAGATTCCCCTAGAAAACCTAAAACTTCACATCTCCTTGATACCTTTGGTCAAGGTCAGTGTGGCCCAGTCCAGGCTCACCGCAGGAAGGTAAAGCAATGGTTATCCAGGGAGCTGGGTCCACCCTGGGCAGGCACTACCTCATAGTGTGTTCACAATCCATCTGCAGCCCTGTGACTCTATAAGTGCAAATGCAGAACCTTGCTGGATTCTTCTAGAAAAAAAGGAGTCCTAATCTTGATACGAAGAGAGGTGTCACATGGCAGAGCTGTCTGCAGTGTCCTGAGAAGATAGTGTGTCTTGCTTTTCTATGTACATACTGGTGGATTGTAATTCCACTGCATGCTGCAACATTTTTTTTTTTTTTTTTTTTTTTTTTTTTTTTTTTTTTGAGACGGAGTTTCGCTCTTGTTACCCAGGCTGGAGTGCAATGGCGTGATCTCGGCTCACCGCAACCTCTGCCTCCTGGGTTCAGGCAATTCTCCTGCCTCAGCCTCCTGAGTAGCTGGGATTATAGGCACGCACCACCGTGCCCAGCTAATTTTTTGTATTTTTAGTAGAGACGGGGTTTCACCATGTTGACCATGGTTGGTCTCGATCTCTCGACCTCGTGATCCACCCGCCTCGGCCTCCCAAAGTGCTGGGATTACAGGCTTGAGCCACCGCGCCCGGCCCATGCTGCAACATTTTAGGGAGGAAAAAAAGCTTCAAAAAGTTCATGGACATACCTATTTTGAAAAAGCTATACATGGATTTCAAAAATGTCTGGCATAAAAATAAACTCCTACTAGTTTGTTATAACCTGTCTTAACAGGATCTAGTTTGTGGCACTAAGAAGGATAAGACATGAGCCTGAAAAGAGCCTTTATCAGAGCAACATAAATTGGTAAAATGGAAACAAGAACAAACATCAAATTTATGGTGAAGTTTGATGCTTATGGTGAATGAATGGTGAAATCATTGATGCTTATGAATAGTTTATGGGGACAGTCCCCTAAAGAAATCAGTTTACAAATGGTGGATAACTCATTTTAAGAACGGATGAGATGACGTTGAAGATGAAGCCCATAGTGGCAAACCATCCACATCAAGTTGTTTATGCCCTAATTGAAGAGGACTATCAATTAATAGTACAAACAACAGGCAACACCATAGACCTCCCGACCGCTTCCGCTTACACAGTTCTGACCAAAACATTAAAATTGAGCAAACTTTGCACTCTGTGGGTGCCAAAACTGTTAATATCCAGATCCACTGCAGACAAGAGCTGAGGTTTTGATGGAAATTTTAACCAAATGGGATCAAGATCCTGAAGCATTTATTTGAAGAATTCCAGCAGGAGATGAAGCATTAATTTCCCAGTACCATCCTGAAGACACAGCACAATCAAAACAATGACTACCAGGAGGCAGAAGTGGTCCAGTCAAAGCAAAGCAGACTGGCCAAGAGCAGAGGTCAGGGCAGCAGGTTTTCAGGATGCCCAAGGCATTTTGCCTGTTGACTTTCTGAAGGGCCAAAAAAACAGTAACATCTGCTTATTATGAGTGTTTTGAAAAATTAGCCAAAGCTTTAGCAGAAAAATGTCCCGGAACGCTTCACAAGAGTTCTCCACCATAGCAATGCTTCCGCTCTTTGCTCTCACCAAACAAGGACAATTCTTCAAGAAGAAATCCTCAGTAGGAAATCATTGAACATCTACCTTACAGCCCTGACTTGGCTCCTTTTGACTTATTTTTCTTTCCTGATCTTTAAAGGGCACCCATTTTTCTTCAGTTAATAGTGTAAAAAAGACTGCACTGACATGGTTAAGTTCCCAGGACCCTCAGTTCTTTAGGGTTGGACTACATGGCTGGTGTCATCACTTACAAGTATCTTGACCGGGATGGAGCCTATGTTGAGAAGTAACATTTCTGTTTGTTTTTATTTTTATCTTTTCATTTCATTTTTCAATGAACTTTTTGAAGTTCCCTCATATATCTTAACTGATGGAAATACGGGAATTAGGTTCCAAGTATTCCTTAGACTATGTCATTGCTCAACACAGCATGAGGCTAAATTCGTGACCAAAGTCACGCTCTCTTCTTCCCCATGGTGTGTTGGGAGGCCAGACTGTGCAGCTGCTCCATGGGGCCCTGGTTTCCTATTCCTGCTGCTGCCTCTCTACCTTGCTGCTGTTTGGCATCATCAATAAGCTTAGACAAGAGCACTTGCTCTAGAAATCACATCTTTACGGCTCCTTTTCTATGTTTAGGTATGTTTAGATATCACTGTTACAGTTGTCTGCAGTTATCGGGTACAGTCACATGATGTTCAGGTTTGTAGAGTAGGAGCCATAGGCTCTACCATGCAGCATAAGTGTGCGGTAGCCTGTACTGTCTAGGTTTGTGTAAGTACGCTCTATGGTATTCACACAGCAGTGATATCTAATGATACATTTCTCAGAACTCATCTCCATCATTAAGCAATGCATAACTGTACATACATTTTATTTTGCTAGAAGTGTTGTTAAGACAGAATCCAAGTCAGGCTGAGAGCTCAGTCACAACTGTTTTATTTAACTACTTTCTCAAGGACATGGACCTTACATTTACTTTACAGCCAGCCTCCGAAAACTTCCTAGTGGCAACAAAGAGGCTAGAGAAGCTGCAGAGCGGTGTGGAGGGGCTTCTTCCATTCCCAGATGCATGTGCATGAATCATTTCTCCTATCCTAAAGGCTCACAGGGAAGAAGCACTAACTGGTAATGAGAGCAAGATTTAGGGGCTGCTACGCGTTGGCAGTGCAGTGATGGGAAGGTAAGATCACAGTTCTAAAGAATGAGAATTGTAGAGTCAGGAATATGAGGTCTGGACCCCCAGCATATTCCCTTCATAGGTCTCCATGGGTTGGGAGAATAGGGTCACCCTCATTTTTGTTGCAGGATTCATTTGCAGTGTGAATTTCAATTGTGCTGGCATCAGAACCTGGAGAGGAAAAGACAAAAGACTGTGACTGTGTCTGCATTCTAGCAGGTTTGTCATCAGCTTCAGAAAATGCTCAGTATTCAGTGCACAGAGTTTTTCACGTACCAACTTTGACCAAAGTCCTAGCATTCATCTCATCTGAAAAAAAAAAAGGTGGGAGGGGTGGAAATCTACATCAACTGTCTGTCTACATTTTATTAAATTATTACAACAGATGAAACAACTCCTACAGAATCACCTAGGCCAGCTGATAGGTGACTGTGGTACAGATGCTGCAAGTGACGCAACTATTGGTTTAGGAAGGTTCTGGAGCCCCGGGACATGGGCTGTCTGATTTAGCAGCAGAGCGCACCCTTGTGACTACTGGTGCAGCTTCTGCTGAGGATGGTGAGTCAGGTCACAAGGACCCTATGATTGTCTGGCTACCTACACTCAATTCCAGGAAGTGCCCAAAGGGAGGGAGACCACCACTCTGTAAAACTATGCCACCTCCCAACTGTCTTTTCGCGGACGATGCCATATGTTTTTAGCAAGTAGCTCCTCCCCATCAGCAACTAACTCTACTCGTGGAAAACTCATCTCCCAAGGCCCAACTAAATACACTAACTACAAACATAGTACATGCCTGGTAACTCTGTCAAATTGGGTTCATTTGTTCTGATCGTGACCCTAGATAAGATAAAGTGATGCATGATATTTTTGTAAATACCAGAATGTATTTGTCCAAATATGCTCAGCATTCCCTTCATGAGAAATCACTGGAGACATTTTTCTCAGGCCTGGATTTCATGGCAATTTGCGTCCATGTGCAATGTTTTCTTTTAAATCATGAAGAGTCATGTAACTGGTCACATTTTCTCTTTAGTCCCCATCTAGAAAGCCCAAAGCCAAACTACTAATCCAGTCTAACTATGTGGGGCTAATTCTACCTGGCTTTGATTTCATTTTTATTTCCTTTGGTCCTGTTTTATTAATCAATTTTCCCCTTTCTCCTATCCTCCGTCCAGAATATGATGGTTTACAAAAAGCAGACACAATATGAGCAGGGGAAAAAATGTAGGCAGCAATCAGCAGTATGAAAGTTAATGTCACTCCCATCGAAAGAGTAATCCTGGATGTCAGTCATCATTCTCATAGTGACAGGAGGCAGCCAAATGTCTAGGCAGATAGGGGCAGGTCTCCAGTTTGGAGTTTCAACCCCACCTTCAACCCAAAAACAGCCTGAAGGCTGAAAAACTGGACTGCTGTTCCCAGAGGAAACCCACACCCAAAGTGAAAAGTTCTGTTCCTGCCCTTTCCCGATTAATTCTTTTTGAATAATGCCTTTAAACCAATCAAATATTGCCTTTTCCAATACTATGTAAGGCCTGCCCCTCCCCGATTCTGAGCCATTAAAAGCCCTGGACTCAGCCATATTAGGGGGACTTTCCCTCCTTCAGGCAGAGGGACCACCCCACAGCCCCTCTCTGCTGAAAGCAGTTTCATCACTCAGTAAATCTCCCTGCCTTGCTCACTCTTCTGTAGTCAGTGAACGTCATTCTTCTTGGGCACAGGACAAGAACTCGGGAACTGGTGTGCAAGCCAGACTTGGCCCAGGCAGGCCAGGTGGGCAGGCCATCTCCTGCAACAGGTAGCATGCCCAGTAAGACCTGGCCAGGACATCACCAGGCAGAAGTCCCCAGCTTGCAAAGTGAGAATAAAATCCTGCATCAATTCCAGCAACACATCTTCCTTCAGAATCTGTGAGACCCTTTGGAAACAATGTCAGAATTATTCTTCCAATCCCCAAATATCCTAGAGTACTTGCTCCATCCGCAACGTAGGTTGTGGGCTGTGCATGGGGAATACACAGGTGGAAGACACAATGGAGGGTGGCCTTTCTAACAACAGATGGGGCAAGTGACTGTGCTCCAAAAAGCCTCCAAATCCCTCCACCCATGGGACTTGCTGACAGTTGCAGCCTCCTCTGTGTTCCTCTCTGCTCCTTCACACCCTTAAGCACACTGCCTCTCTCCCTCTCACCGCAGGCTTGGTCCTGTCCCAGGGCCTTTGCGCCTCTCTTTTTATGCCTGTAAAGCTCTTCTGATTTTCTAGTGGCTCCTACGCTTCATTAAGGTCTCAATTCTAATGTTACATCATGCTCAGGAAGACTCTCGGGACACCCTCTCTAAAACCACACTCCTACCTCCTCCCTGATTTTTCTTCATAGCATTTCCCACTACCTGGCTGGAATATGCTATCATTGTTTGTGTTTTTCATTCTGTCTCTGCCACTAGAGTGGAGAGTCTCAGTGGACAGGGAATGTGTCTTAGTCACCATAGTGTACCTAATGCCCCAGACAACACCTGCCATCTCAAGGGTGCCCAATAAACATGGGGAATGGGTCAGTAAATCACGTAAGTGCCCTGACAGCAACGGGATGCAGCACTAGTCCCTTGGAGCTCTCATTAAGACCTGAGTATAAAGAAGGGCAGAAGCAAGCACAATTCTAAAAGAGAGAAATGCAGAGTTTGAGAGGACGTGTAAGGAACAGAAAAGAACATTAAGAGTTATATAGAAAAGAAGAGGTGAGAAATTGTGACATCAGGAGAGATGTGCTTAGAAAGGATTAAGAAATCCTGAGCGACGGACAGAGATGGCAATATTAACAAGAAGGCAAGTGTGGACTGGGTGTGATGGGTCCACCTGTAACCCTAGGACTTTGGGAGGTCAAGTAAGGAGGATCACTTGCATTTGAGACCAGCCTGGGCAACATAGACCCTATCTCTTAAAAAAAAAAAAAAGTCATGATTGTGTGTGCCTGTGGTCCCAGCTATTCGGGAGGCTGAGGTAGAAGGATCTCTTAAGCCCAAGAGTTTGAAGCTGCAGTGAGCCAGGATCATGCCATCTCACACCAGCCTGGGCAACAGAGAGATCCCACCTCCAGATAAAGGTAAATGCAATATTTTTGTGTCCCCCGATACACACACATGCACCTGCATGCACATACACAAGCGCTATGGGCTGCGGGAAGACACAGCACTCAGATCTTCCTCCCAGGGTTGGATTAGGATGAGTCTGGGAGAATCTTGGTCTGAGTAACTCGTCAAGTGTGATGAGCTCCTTGAAGGGCAGGTAAAGGGAGTCAAGGATGGATCTGGCCGTGGATCGCCCAGCTAGATCCTGAGGAGCATCTGGGTGGCCCAGAAGGATGGTGGAGAGGATGCTTTTGTTAGCGTGGTGAACCTGCTTTTCCTGGAGCCCAGACACCAGCTGGGAAAACTTCTAAAGGAGCCTTCCAGTTCCGGAGCAGCATTCTTGCTGGAAGGGGGCTGGTGACACTTCAAAAAGACTTGATTCTAACAGGGTCACAACTGTTTATGAGGACATCTGGATTCATGGGAACTCATTTGTGATTTCTGTAGTTCTTTTCAAATAGGCTCTGGGCTGGGGTGTCACATGGTGGCTTGTGATCAAGGTCTGGACTGAGGAAACTCCCCCGTGACCTCACACTTCTGGGTCCTGTGGCTTTGAAGAATTTCTAGTGCTTTCATCCTCTCCCTAGGGCTCCATGGAAGAGAATATTTATGCATGACAACTTTCTTGAAGCAAATTCTGCGAGGAGGGAGCTGCCCCAGCCCAGCCTGCCTGTGCTCAGTTCGATAAGTGCTTTCCAGCAGCCCTGAATTTCCAAGGGTTTTCTCTGCTGGTCTTAAAGGTCTCTTGTGAGCAGGGAATGTGCTGGCTGAGCAAGTTTCTGAGAAGATAATAATTCAACCAGGCTGTTGAAAGATGTTGACTAAGTCCCAATTATTGCAAAATCTGTGAAAGTCTAACATCCCTGCAGAAAATGCATGTCCCAGTGACCTAATGGTACCCAAGGGCGAGTCCCCTTCCTCGTGGCCCCCTTTAATGAGCCTTGCAAGTATAGGCAGGTTCTTGGGATTCCCTTTGCCCCATGCAGATCTGAGATTTGGACATAGAGTCATGCACCACATAACGATCATTTTGAGCAACATTCCACATATGTGACAGCGGTCCCGTAAGATTATAATACTGCATTTTTACTGTACCTTTTCTATATTCAACTATGTTTAGATATACAAGTACTGCTGTGCTACAGCTTCCTACAGTATTCAGTGCAGTAACATGCTTTACAGGTTTGTAGCCTAGGAGAAAGAGGCTCTATCATCCAGCCCAGGTGTGTAGTCGGGTATACCCTCTAGGTTTCAGTGAATTCTGTGGTGTTCACACAGCAATGAAATTGCCTAACATGCATTTCTCAGAATGTATCCTCATTGTTAAGTGATGCATGACTGTATATTGGATGTCCCTTGTGCCGTCTACTGCCTTTTTCAGATCCCCTAAAAATTGTGAAGTCCTAGAACTGAAACCCCAACCAGCCAGAGGGCACTGAGCATGAACCATAGAAAACATGGCACCTGGCCCAACTCCACTTCAAGGTGTTAAATTTGATCTGGCCAGCCCAACAAAGTCCAAGGCCCTGGGGTATATTCTCTTCCACACCCTCATAGCAACTACAGTTGATGGAGGCACCAGGTGTTACTTTTAGGGAGAGGCAAAGTAACAGCAGGCCACTGAGGAGAAAGCTGATCTCCCAGAGCCCAAGCTGACACTTCACCTGAGCTGGGTGGGTTTTGCAAAGGAGTAGAATAATGTCCAATTCTTAGGCAGTGTCTCAGTGTGCTACTTGGAGAATAGGCTGCTGAAAAAATTCTGTGTATACCTGGTGTTAGGTAAGGGGCCTTGCCATTGGGAGGTGGCTCATTTAACAGCTTATAAGAAATTTTGCAAATGACAGAGGAGAAGAGAAGTCTGTGCTAACATGATGGCTTTTCAGAAGCAGTGAAAAGCAGCAGCCTTGAAAGGCAGCCTCTGAGTGTCCCAAAGTCTCCTGTTTGAAGCATGACTCCTCCTGTTCCAGAAAAGGTACTCTTGCCTTTCCTACTTTCCTCCATATGCCCACATTTATCTCTACCACTTGCTTGTGGAAACAAGCC